TGTTGTTTGTACAGTTGTTGAATGGAGTTGTGAATCCTGATTCCGTTTGGCAGGTGATTTATACTTCTGGCCCTGCTCCTGGGTCCCAGCCTCCAGCAGTTCTCAACCTTCTCTAACCCAGCCAGCTGGGCTGGCTTACTTACTTACCCTGGGTGCACGTCCATCAGCCCCTTGGTCCCTGTTCTAGCGGCACCCTTTGTGCACGTCCATTGGCCCCATGACACTTACCACTGGCTCGTCTCCTGTCTCCCTCAGTAGCAGGGTTTCTTGAGGACAGTGATTGATCCTGGGCTTCAGTGCCCAGCACCATGGCGAGCTCATGGTGGGCTTGCTGAATGTCTGAAAGAACAGTGGGATGTAAGAGAAGCAAGCAGGTACCTGCGTTCCTCTGCTTTCTTTTATGAGCTTTACTCTCATTCCTACACCTGTGCATGTAGAACCCCTTTATGAAGGTTTTACTGCCGCCCCAAAATCAGTTTCGAAGCTTCTCTCTCAAGCCTCGTTCTTTTTCTGTGTTTCCTGTTTGTGTAAACCTGAGCCTTCCTTTGCCTCTTCCCACCCTTCCTTCCCTCTCCTTTCCTCCTCCAGCCCGTGTGGCCCATTGCTTGGNGGGCTTGACTGATTTGCACTGAGTTTCAGATGGGTGTTGACATTGGAATAGACTCAAAAGTCACCACTTACATAGTTTCTAGCCCTAAGAGAGTGGGCAGGCTCTGTATAGCACAGGTGGGATAGGGCAGTGCCCACAGTGACCGTGCGGACACTTGCTGGCCATGGGGTGCCCTTGAATGAGTCCAGGTCATTGCTCAGCTCACTGAAGAGACTGTGCCCTCAGAGATTTGAGAAGCCCAGGTCTAGTTCAACTCTGCAGAGCTTGGTTGCATGGGGGCTTAGAAGGGAGAGTATAGGGGAGCAGGGCTCGGGTCTTGAAAAAACGAAGGAAGCATTTCCTACTGATTGCTTCCACGTGTAGGGCTGTTCCTTCTACAGAAGTTTTAAGAGTCCTGCTCTGGTAAGGGAGGGGAGGAGATTTTGGCTATGGGGGAACAGGGAAAAATGCCTCTGTCCACCCTCTAAATACCCTGTGGGTGCTGGGACCAGCATTCAAATCCAATTATTTTCAGTACACACAGGAAGGGTTGAGGCTTTAAAACCAAACAAACCAGTGGCCAATTAGATACTTACCACCTAACAAAGCTGTTGTTTGTACAGTTGTTGAATGGAGTTGTGAATCCTGATTCCGTTTGGCAGGTGATTTATACTTCTGGCCCTGCTCCTGGGTCCCAGCCTCCAGCAGTTCTCAACCTTCTCTAACCCAGCCAGCTGGGCTGGCTTACTTACTTACCCTGGGTGCACGTCCATCAGCCCCTTGGTCCCTGTTCTAGCGGCACCCTTTGTGCACGTCCATTGGCCCCATGACACTTACCACTGGCTCGTCTCCTGTCTCCCTCAGTAGCAGGGTTTCTTGAGGACAGTGATTGATCCTGGGCTTCAGTGCCCAGCACCATGGCGAGCTCATGGTGGGCTTGCTGAATGTCTGAAAGAACAGTGGGATGTAAGAGAAGCAAGCAGGTACCTGCGTTCCTCTGCTTTCTTTTATGAGCTTTACTCTCATTCCTACACCTGTGCATGTAGAACCCCTTTATGAAGGTTTCACTGCCGCCCCAAAATCAGTTTCGAAGCTTCTCTCTCAAGCCTCGTTCTTTTTCTGTGTTTCCTGTTTGTGTAAACCTGAGCCTTCCTTTGCCTCTTCCCACCCTTCCTTCCCTCTCCTTTCCTCCTCCAGCCCGTGTGGCCCATTGCTTGGCTCTCCTATGGCCTCTCCTCTCCTCTTTAACCCTCATTGCTTCCATCCTTGAAACCTATCACTGATTTTTCTTCTTCGGCCTTCAGTCCTTCTAAATACTTGCTGAACCTGAAAAGTATGTGAGTGACTGCTGTGTTGCGGGAGGTGGAGCCAGATCTCCAGCTTAACCCTACCTCTCTCCCAGCATCAGCTTCTTCTGCCCTGTTGGAGTCTTTGCTTTGGACTCATTACTTTCCTTAAACCCCCTTCTCTCCGCTGCCTGCGTGATACTGGTTCCTTGGTTGGTATTCAAGGCCTTCTGTGATCTTGCTTGTTCACCTATCTTCCAGTCATGTCCTGTTGCTCCCTTTTGTGCATACTCAACGTGCCAGCCAAACTGGTACATACTCCCTTATTTCCTACCTCTGCCTCTGTCATCACATGGCTTCCTGCCAGAATGCCCTCCCCTTCACTTCTGCTCTGACCAAATCATATCCTTACTTGTGATTCAGCTCAAATGCCCTCTCTTCCAGGAATCCTTCCCTGCTCTTTGGTAAACAGTGAGCGTAGTGCGTCCACCACTGCAGGGCAGATGCTCTACTGTCCCCCCTCCCCATAGTGTCCCCTAATCGCATTACCTTTAACAGTATCATTTTGCTTCCCTGCGTCCCATGTCCTCTCTTTGCAGATAAGTCAGGTCTAGGTCAAATTTCTTTTTTTTTTTTTTAATATATCTCTATTGATTTCAGAGAGAGGAAAGGAGAGGGAGAGAGAGAGGTAGAAACATCAATGATGAGTCATTGATCGAGCCCACAACCCGGGCATGTGCCCTGACCGGGAATCGAACCCCGATCGCCTGGATCCTAGGTCGACGCTCAACCGCTGAGCCACGCCCGGCCGGGCTGGGTCAGATTCTTTATAGCTACCTTTCTGCCCAGTGCAGGGGTTCAGCCACAGCAGACTCTGAAGGGGTGCTGGCTGCATAATGCACACCAGTTTCAAGCCTGCGCCCTTTCCAGGTTTTGTCTCATTTAATCCTCACAACAGCCCTTAGACGTAGATGCTAGCTCTGTCCATATCTTCCAGAGGAGGAAACGGCTCAGAGACATGAGGCATTTTCCCAGGGTCACACAACTAGTAAACCGCAGAGCTGGGATTTGTGTGCCCAGGCTTTTCTGCCTTTAACCACTTTTATGTGACCTGAATGAATGGGGTAGATACAACCCCAACTAGGACGTATAGCAACCCATTGGAGGATATAGACTTCTGAAGATGCCACCATTTCAGAAAGAACACTTTATTTTTTAAATTACTGTGCCCAGTGGGTCTCTCTGTACCCTTTACCAAGAATAGCTCACAGCTGGGGTTTCATCCAGATTGGGGGCGGGTACGGGGGCTGGGTGGAGGTGGGCAAATGGGAGGAAAATGGGGACATCTATAACAGTGTCAACAATTAAAAAAGTTAAAAAAAAATTGGGAAGGGGAGGAAAAGGGAGAGGCAGCCAGAGATATACATTGGTCTTCCCAGACACTCACAGCAGTGACTTCCCAGGAGCTGGCATTTCAAGGCCCCTCCTCGCGGTAGATGAGACTCCGGTGTTGGAGAAAGACAGCAGAATTGCCTGTCTCTGCACTTCTTTCTTAACCTGCTCCCCCTCCCCCAATACTTAAGGGTAATGACTCTTAAGTACTGTCCTGAGTCTTCTCTGGCAGAGATTGAGTAAGTCCCATTCAAATGCCCCTGCTCCTATACACATGAGACCTGTAAATACTTTAACGTTAAAAACAGAGTTAATGTGATTCTAAAAAACGTATTACTGCTGAGGTTGGGAGGAGAGAGAAGCCCTCACAGCCGCAGACTGTAAAAGGCTCCAATTGGCTTCGGGGAGCAGTTTCCCTTGCTGGCACCCCACTTCTGACTTGGTTTGCAGGGACTTGTTTCTAAGCCTGGATATTTTGACATCCCCACTTCCCTGCCAGGAGTTAGCTGAGGGCCACGGTTTAAACCTGCAAAGGATATGATTAGAGGCTTTGTGGGTGGAGCAGCCTCTTTAGCAAGGAAATCTGGGAGCTGGCGGATACCTGCCTCTGTTGAGCTGTCTGGATAGCTCAAACTCTGGACTAGAAAAGTGAATCAATGAACAGATACTTAGGGATCTTGTGTACCTTGCATTCCATGTAACATAGTCATTAAATTCTCACTACAAATCTATTTTGCAGCTAAGGAAACAGACATTCGATCAGCTGTAATTTTCCCAGAGACACCTGGCTGAGGCAGCTCTTCACTGTAGTCAGATGCCAAGAGTGGGAAACGGATTAGGAGGCAGGAATGGAGCCATGTTTCGGGGGAGAAGAAAGGACCGGTGAAGCTTCAGGACAGAATCCCTAGGATATATTTCCATATTCCTGTTCTTATGGTCTTGTACTGTGGACAGGTAGATACTAAAGAGCTAGAGGTCACCTTTCGTAGAGGAGAGGCTGGTGCTCTGGGAGTCCATTGGTTGGAGCCTGACTAGTGGAGGGAGTGGAATATTATGAAGATTTGATATCAGTGTTAGAGGCAGAAGTGGGGGGATCTGCTTGCCTGGTATGATCATTTTCAAGTCCTGAGTTGGTGGTGGATTGGGTGGGTCTGTCTCGATTGTAACAAAAACTCAGAGCTTGTGATCCAAAATCAGGCAACAATCAGATCACAGAGTTAGAGAATGCTGCGCCCAGAAGGGGCCTCAGGGAGAATCTAAGGTTTTCTTCCTTTACCGTGGAAAACTGAAGCCAGTGTGGAAGCACAGGCCAAGACAACGATGTGTTAGCCACAGAATCTAGACAGCTCGCTGGGCTGAGCTGAGCCTGTGAGACGGGAGGGGATTTAGTAAAAGAAGGGAAGTTGAGTGGAACAAGCTCATGGGAGGGCAGGGCAGTGGATTAATGTATGTGTCTGAGAAATTTGCCCGTGTGGAGGAGAGTGGCTAGGAGGCAGTTTGAGAGGGTTAGCTGGGCCAAGTCCAGGTTTGTAGGATACAGTGGCCTGAGTGTCTTTGGAGATGGAGAGGAGTCCACGGTGAGGGGAAAGTGGATACTGCAGAAGGAGAAGGAAGGGTGTTGTAGGATGGGGATCCTTTCCCAGCCCCGAGATGGGGTCGGGAGTCTGGACACGGAGCCGTCGGGTGGTGGTGTGGGCTGACGGCTTGCTCTTCCCCTGCCGCCCGACCCTCAGGTGATTGCCGTGGTGATGGATGTATTCACGGACATCGACATCTTCAGAGACCTGCAGGAGATATGTCGGAAAAAGGGGGTTGCTGTGTACATCCTTCTGGACCAGGCTCTGCTCTCTCAGTTTTTGGATATGTGCGTGGATCTGAAAATTCATCCTGAACAGGAAAAGGTTTGTGTTATACTGTTTTTGGTTTCACCACAATAAAAAATAGTACCTATCTGCATGGCAGTTGCTGGTGGTATCCCCCCAGAGAGGGAACCTAACAGGGAGCCTGACTGTTCTCGTCCCGAGTCNTGGTTTCACCACAATAAAAAATAGGACCTATCTGCATGGCAGTTGCTGGTGGTATCCCCCCAGAGAGGGAACCTAACAGGGAGCCTGACTGTTCTCGTCCCGAGTCTGCCTTGGAAGCTGCTGCTTTTGACTGCAGTGCTGGCAGGCTCCAATTTTAATCGTAACGACCACCATTTATGGAGCTCCCGCCACGTCCTTGGCACTGTTCTATGCTCATGACAAATGTTATGCAACTGAATCCTCACAGAAGCCCTATCGAGTAAGTGGCATTCTACTTATGTTTTAGATCAGGAAATGGTGGCACAGCCCAGTTTCTACAACTGGAAAGTAGTGGGACTGGGGTCTGACTCCTCATCTGCCATCACTGTCACATGGTGCCTCTCATGTCTCGTTATTAAAAAATTAGTTTTATGTCTTTTGCTCTGAGCATGAAAGTAATTTAAACTTAAGTATTTAAATGCAAGGTTGTACAACTTAGCTAGCTTGGTGTCTTTAGAGGCAAGAAAAATAGTCATACTTATTGCACCATTCTTTTTTTTTTTAATTAAGCAACTTAACCTGTGTGCTTCAGAATTTAATTTATCAACTTAGTTCACACCTGTGAGTACCTACAATGAGCTGTTTTAGGTACTGGAAATAAAGCAGTCAGCAAAATGAACAGGAATTTGGGTTACTGATAGGAATCATAAAGTTACTGCCTTATTATCAAGCACTTTGGTTTTGCAAAATTTTAGCTATTTAACTTCTACAGAGTTTTTGTTGGTGTTTTCCCATCACCAACAAGCGTTGGGAAACCGAGGATTGGGTTTAATTAGGTAGGTTCCAACTTGTCGCTAGTGCTACAGACAAATCACTGTGGAAATTATTAGCTTTTTAAAAAATTAATTTCCATTTTAAAATAATTTATGATTTACAAAGGAGTTACAAAAACAATATAAGGAATTCATGAATACTCTTCGCCCAAGTTCTCTAAATGTTACCATCTTACAAACCTCAGTACAAATTTGCAAATCAAGAAATAAACTTGATATACTACTATTATCTAAGCTAAAGATCTTTTAAATTTCACTAACCATTCCATGGAAGCTCGTTTTCTTGTCCAAGATTCAGTCCAGGACCACAGCTGGCATATAGTTGCTGTGTCTCCTTAGCTTCCTCTCTTCTGGGACTGGTCCTCCTCCTTTGTCTTTTAGGGTCTTGACACTTTTGAAGAATACTAGCCAGTTTTCTGTAGAATTTGGGTTTGTCTAGTCTTTCCTCATGGTTAAATTCAGATTATGCGTTTTGGTAAGAATACCACTGAAGTTATGTTATGTGTCGCCATAGTTTTCTTTGCTTTGCCTTTTGTTTTTATTTTTGAAGTAACAGATTCATAGAAATTGCAAAGATAATACAAGAGGTTTCCATGGATCCTTCACCCAGTTTCCCCCAATGGTTATGTTTTATGTAAGTTATAGTACAAGAGCAAAAGCTGGAAATTGACATGGGTACAGTGTGTGTCTATAGTTTTGTGCCATTTTATCACATGTGTACATATGTGTAACCACCACTGCCATCAAGATACAGAGCTGTTTGCACCACGGAGATCTCCCTCGTGGAAACTTTACAGTCACATCCACTCCCTTCTCTGTGTCCTCCTACCATTTGTAACCCTGGCAACCACTAACTTGTTCCCCATCTCTATAATTTTGTCATTTAGGGAATGTTATGTAAATGGAACCACAGAGTATATGACCTTTTGAGATTGACTTTTTTCCCCTCGGCATAAAGCCTTTGAGATTCGTCCAAATTATTGTATCAATAGTTTGTTCCTTTGAATTGCTGAATAGTATCATGGTGTGGTTGTACTATAGTTTGTTTAACCACTCACCCATTGAAAGACATTAGAATAGTTTCCAGTCTTTTACTATTGTGAATAAAAGATACTATGAGTATTTGTGTACAGGTTTTTGTGTGGACATAGGCTTTCACTTCTCTGGATGACTTAGTCTTGCTGTAGTTTTTAATCATTCATTACTTTTCTCTCTCTTGTCTAGTCCTTGCAGATCAAGAGCACACCTTATAGCAAGAAGCATGTCCTATATCTCTATTGTCTCAAGGCCTGGCACATAATAGGGGCTTGCTTTGTTTGTGGAATGAGAGAGTCAAACAAAAATCTTAAACATTTAATTTGAATGTGTAAGATTTCTAAAGATATTCAGCTACTGATCTGCCCCAAAGGATGCAGATTGTCTTAGTATTTTACACACCATTGTATATACATGTGTGTCATTTTACAAAAATAATTATGCATACACATGCAGTATATAGCCCCACTGTGGTTCCCGTGTACTTTTCTGGTAAATATGTACTTGTAGGAAATTTGACACTACTGATTAAGCCACGTGCGATATGAATGTTTGCCACCTCAAGTCCTATATTAGAGAAGGCTCATTCTGTGTTCTCTAGACCCACTGTGGTGTGGGGGTGATGATGGGCTGTTATTTATTGGTGGTCCTATGAGACAAAAGAAGTAGGAGAGATATCACCTTAGTTTCTTTAAGCCTTTGTTATTTATTACTAGCATGTCTCTTTTGATAATTTAATCCCCCATGTTTTGTTTCAGAAATCATTTCGTGGGTTCTGTTGTTTAGTATCATCAAAAAGTGAGTCTTCTTTTAGAGCACGTGTCCACATGAGCTAAGGGTCTCAAAAATAAATATAAGATGGGCATATGAGAAGCTGGACTAAATGTGAGGCAACATTACTTGAGTCCCGAGAATCGCCTGGCTGTTGTCCAGGGTGCATTGTTATTATATGGTGACTGTGAACCACTCATCGGTCAATAAATTTGTCTTTCTGGGAAGTGTAAACTAAGCCCTCTTGTCTTAATGATTTGTTCACTAGATTGTTCATTTCTTTTTTCCACGCTCTCCCGCCAACAGCTGATGACAGTTCGGACTATTACAGGAAATATCTACTACGCGAGGTCAGGAACTAAAATTGTTGGGAAGGTTCATGAAAAGTTCACATTGATTGATGGCATTCGAGTGGCTACAGGCTCCTACAGGTAAGTTTCTCACCCGTCCATGCTTTTTAATCTAAATATTTTAGGAGGAGCATGCTATGTAAAGGCAAAAGCTTCCTCCCGCGCCCCGCCAATGCCAGGCTTTATGTCCAGGCATTCTGAGATGTGTGCATCTGTGTGTGAACAGGTTAATCAAAACCTCCTCCTGCAGGAGGCAGTTGGGTGGAGTCACCTCCCCTGCCCTGTGATCCACAGAACTGAAGTGCAAAGGTTGAAATTTGCCTGGAGACCCCACGGTGAGTGAGTCCTAGGTGCAAGCCTCAGCCAGGCCTGCAGTGGGTGAATTGGAGGTTAACAGTGACAGTCACAGTGAGTCTTATTCCTGGGTACTTTGAACCCCTTGTCCCTGCTCACTTGGAGAGAAGGGCAGTCTCAGGCATGTGCATCAGTGTAGAGGGCAGAGCTGAAGCTGTCAGCTTATGCCTAATTCCACCTTGCTTTAAGCCTTGTAATCTAGTGCTTTAGAAAGTACTGATCCACGCTCTGGCCCCACCTTTGAAGTCTCACTTTGGCATTGGCGTCTTAAGGGAACTTGAATAGAGGGTGGAGGTAATGAGTGATTAACACTAATCCCCAGAAGTTAAGACGTGCCATTTTTCTCCCGCGGCTTCAGTGTTTGGCCACCTCTGCATTTGCTTGTCTGATGGGGTGCATGAGGTATGTCTGTAGAGTTTAAAAATGAAAAACTCATTTTTGAAGAAACGCACATTCCTGAGTGATAATTATGAGTCAGCCCTGGGTAAAGGTGGACATGAAAAGATTTCTGGACGATGAGGTGATAAGAGGAAAGTCTTTTGATGCCTTTCCTCTCAAACAGGACCATCCACGCTGGGGGGAAAGCTCGGACTCTTCCTTGCGACTTTCTTTCATAAGAAGTTTTTAAATAACAGGAGGAAACTAGATTTTCACCCAAAGTAGGATTGACCTATATTAGCCAAATTTAGCTCAACTGGTTTTTGGCTATTCTAAAATATAAAAACTACCCTGTACAAATGAAATATGCTACCATTGAGAATGAGGGTAGCTTTCATTTGTTGTGGACGTTTTATAATCCTGGCATTAAGATAGGTGTCTTATTTACATGATCCCACTGAAGGATTTTTATTTTTATTTTTTATGTTTTTATTGATTTTTAAAGAGAGGAAGGGAGAGGGAGAGAGAGAAACATCAGTGGGAGAGAAACATTATCAGTCGGCTGCCTCCTGCACGCCCCCTACTGGGGATCAGGCCTGAAACCCCGGCATGAGCCCTGACCAGGAATCGAACCTGGACCTCTTGGTTCCTAGGTTGACACTCAACCACTGGGCCCCATTGAGGGTTTTTAAAAGACTTCCTTTTCCATCAGTGGGGTGATTGCAAGTGCAGAAAGCTAAACTTAGAAGTGTCAAAAGGTTTTCAGTTCTTGACCATTTACCAAAATACTGTCTCCTGGTTCTGCTTTTCGCTGGTTGGTCTTTATTCTCGGTCAGCTCTTCATTTGAAGGCAAAGGCCCAGGCTTGCTTATGTGGCCTTTAACAGCCATCTCCCTAAGAGAGACTTTGTTCCTCTCGGCACTGGTATTGGTCCTTGAAAAATTACTTGGCCTGAGGGGGTCACACACCCACCCTCGGTAACTCCCCCATTCAAGCGGATAGGGTCGTCTGGCCAGCCTGGTCGTGCGCCCACTCCCTTGTGATTGGAGAAGGTGCCTAAATGAAGGCCTTCTCTGCTGGGGTGGGCGTGGGTTCTGTCACCAGAGGAAGGAGGCGGGATGCTGGTCAGCTCTGAACATGCTTCCAGCAACAGCGTCGGGGTTAGAATAACAGCACTGTCTCCTTTGTGGAAACGGCAGCACTGGAGGGAGCACGGGGCACTGCACTGGTCATTCTAAGGACGCCCTGGTGTGGAGTCTGCCACAGCTTCCCGCTGTGAAAGCACTAGCTCTTTGTTTCTTCACTTCGAAAATGAGGGCACTGGCCAAATATTTTAGAAATATTTAGAGGGTGTGTAGGTTGTAGTGTGTTGGTTAAACAGCCTTCTTACTTTTATGTTAACCTGTCTACGTCATATGCCTGGGTTAAGGCTGGTTGAATTCATTCTACACGGTAGGTATGCTGTTATCAGAGTCAGGATGCTTATGTAGCAGGAAATCTGGGCTTCATTCCTCGGATTGACAATAAGAAACTAAAATCGCGTATTCTTACCAGCTTCTGTTTGTTTTTAACCCTCAAGTTTCACGTGGACAGATGGCAAGTTGAATAGCAGTAACCTGGTCATCCTGTCTGGCCAAGTGGTTGAACACTTCGACCTGGAGTTCCGCGTCCTGTACGCGCAGTCCAAGCCCATCAGCTGCAAGCTCCTGTCCAGCTTCGGGGTCAGCGGCAAGTTTGACCATCTCCTGGAGCCGAAGCCGCTGTCCAAGGAGCTCACGTGGGGTAACCTGCTGCGCCAGCGGCTGGCCAGGCTCTCGAGCACCCCCAAGAGTGCCGGGCCGGAGTGTGCAGCCTCCCCCAAGGGCAGGGCGCCGGCCGGGCGCCGCGACTCCGAGTCCTCCACCATCAGCGAGGAGGACTACTTCAACAGCCACAGGGACGAACCAGAGGGCGGGAAGGTGACCGATGCCGCCACTCAGACAGAGCCGGGAGAGGAGATGCCCGCGGTGAGCGTGAGCGACTCGGGCACACAGACCAGCACCGCCATAACCAGTGCTGGGACCCAAACCACAGTTGCCACCCGGGCAGCGAGCTCCCAAACCACGGTTCAGTTCATGTCGGCCACCACCCAGACTGATGTGGGCGAGAATGTTCTCTTTTCTCAGGGAACACATTCTAAAGAAGGGTCCCCTCTGTCAAAGATGTCTGTCTCGAGGTCTTCCAGCTTGAAGTCGTTCTCCTCGCTGTCCTCCCAAGGCTCAGTGGCCAGCTCCGCCGGCTCCCAGACTTCCGTCAGGACCATTGACTTCATCCTCCCCGGGCACGCCAAGTACTGGGCCACCCCCCACTTTGACTCACTCAGAAACTTGAATAAAGAGCGGCAGTTTCACTTCTCCGCCCTCAGGTCCCGGCTCCACCACATGCTGGCCATGGTGTCAAGGAGAACGGTTCTTACTGAAAACTATCTTGGCTTTAATTCCGGAAATTTTACCAGAGCACCAGTTAATCTGCTGGCTATTAGAGATATTACAGTCTATCCCTCCTATCAGTGACTGCTCAGCGTTCAGAGCCTCCTGGGTTCAGCCAGGCTTGTGATAGACATCACAAGCATCCTGCTCTGCAGAATGTCTCCTGTCCCTAATTGTTTTTCTTTATCTTTTAGTCACCATGATTTTTTTTGAATTCTATAAACTGCACACTATTTTACATGCTTTAATTTTATTTTTGTCATGTATAAACAAGCTCTTGGCTTTATGGTTTAAACACTGGGTACAGTTTCTTTGCACTTTTTTTTAATCCTCACATGAGGATATTTTTTCATTACTTTTCAGAGAGTAGAGGGGGCTGGGGAGAGGAAACATCGCTGTGAGAGAGACACATTGACTGGTTGCCTCCCCCCCCC